AGGGAGAGAGAGAAACATCAGTGATGAGAGGGAATCATTGATCAGCTGCCTCCTGCACTCCCCCTACTGGGGATGGAGCCTGCAACCCGAGAATGTGTCCTTGACTAGAACTGAACCTGGGACCCTCCAGTCTGCAGGCCAACGTTCTATCCACTGAGCCAAACCAGCTAGGGCCAATTCACTACTTTTTAAGTATTGGCTTCAAGGGTAATCCTGGGGGGGGGGGTGCGGTTAAATGTTAATTTCTTAACTTGATCTTAGCCAAAAGGCCGAGAAGCGATAAATGTTAATTTCTTTCAATGGGTTATCGAGCACTGGAAAGATAGAGGGAAACAATAGCATTGTTCTGGTTTGCTGACAGTAGCAGCTTCGAGAATAGTACTCATTGACTTAATTTGGGAGAAATCTGATTTGAAATCTTGATAATATCAACATTTATTTTCATGCAAACAGAGCCCACGCCAGAAAATATGTCTTGGCTTATCCACAGGAGAAACAACCGATTCTCCCTCATTCTTCAACGCACTTCCACCTTCACCCTCCAGAGAGCTTCCACTGATGGAGCAGGAGCCCTGTACCCTTATGACAACCTCACTCCACCCCCGCCCCCGCCCCCATGTACTAAAACATTTAATATAATCAGTTAATTCACTTAGTCATTACTCAATCACTGAATAATTACTGCATTAGAAACATCTGGAAGGCTCCTTAAAGCACTGATTATATGCACCTGGGTCCTCACATACCAACTTGAATTTATTTTATAGCCCACTTCCTCCAGTTGAGTTCAACAAATATGAAGCCCCAACTGTGAGCAAGGCATTGCTGACCCTGACATCCCAGGACCAGGAGCTGGTCCCTCCTCTTAAAGGAGTTGGTGCTGTAGGAAGGGCATCCGGGCATCTCAACAGAAATGTGAAACGGTGGATTCACAGGGCACCAGGAGGCCCTCTGAAGCCAGGTAGCTCCCCCAGCCTAGGGGGCCCCCCCGAGAAGGTGAACAGATAACTATGAGCATCCGAGAAACTGGGAGGGATACTGGGCACTAAGAGAACAAGGCCCAGATAAAGAGACGCGCTGGGCGAGCAGAGAGAGAGCCCGTGGCTGCATCCTGATTCCTCTCTGGGCTCTGTGTGCTGGGACTTAGGGAGACTTTGCCTCATGGATGTGTTAGACCCCCGGGGCTGCCACAGCCTGAGTGGCTTAAAACACCAGAAGTTTGAACAACAGAAGTTTACTCTCAAAGCTCTGGAGGCCAGAAGCAAGAAACCAGGTGTTGGCTGGGCCCTGCTCCCTCTAACTCGGGACGGGGGAGGCTTCCGAATATTCTAGCATCTGGTGGCTGGCGGGCATTCTTGGGTATTCAAGCCGTACAACCTCAGCCTCTGCTTCTGTTCTCACATGGCGTTCTCCCTGGGTGCCTCTGTCTGCATGTGGCCATCCTCTTATAGAGACGCTGGTCATATAGGATCACCATTCTCCTGCCCCCCCCCCCAGTATGACCTCATTTGAACTTAACTAATTACATTTTCAACAACCCTATTTCCAAATGAGGTCATGTTTGAGGTCCCGAGGATTAAGACTTCAACATCTATTTCTCCAGGGGACACGATTGATCTGTAACGGTTGGTGTGCACTCATCACACTGGGTTGAGTAGGTTCGAAATGCTCAGTCTGATTGTGAAGTTCTTCAAAGCAAAGATGTTCCGACCCCTTCTTATTCTCCCAGCATTTCCACAGTCCCTGCCTGCATATTCATAGGGACCAAGAGACTTCATCAGAACGACACCCACAATCAAGGATCAAGAAGCCCATCTTTTAGAATGAGAGGTAGAAACTACTCCTTGGGCCCTAGCTGGTTTGCTCAGTGGATAGAGCATCGGCCTGCGGACTGGAGGGTCCCTGGTTCGATTCTGGTCCAGGGCACACACCTGGGCTCGATCCCCAGTAGAGGGTGTGGAGGAGGCAGCTAATCCATGATTCTCTCTCATCATTGGTGTTTCTATCTCTCTCTCCCTCTCCCTTCCTTTCTGAAATCAATAAAATATATATATTTTAAAAAGTAAGAAACTACTCCTTGGAATTTTACCCGCACACATACCCCAACAAGATTTCATATATATATATATAACCAAAAGCATCATCAGAGAGTGTAAGCAATTTTATACTGTACTTCACCCTTTCTAGTGAATCTACTTCATTGTGGGATGAAAATTAGGGAGAAAAACCAAGAAAGAGAATTTCCAAGCACTTAACATCGCTCCCAGCACACAAGGAGCTGTTAGCAATGATCAACACTGTTGCTTGGCCACATTACACCAGAGAACACTGAATATTAGTTGCAATCGCATGATTATTAACATTTCTTGGGAGTGCGGCAGAACAGCTACTGTTCACACGGTTTTTGGGGTCCTGTCTGCTCACAAGGTAAGCCGACCCGGGTAACATCAAATTTAAAGCAAATGATAACAATCCGATTTCCCTAGGAGACCAGCCTGCCATCCAATCAGGTTGGAAAAACAAAACAAGCTATTAATAGCCTTATGCAAACAAAGTGTTTATTATACTTCATGGCTTTTTTTTTTTTTGAGGGGGTTACTGTACTGTGTGTGTCTCCGATGTGGCACCGGGTTAGGATCGGTACTAAGGGGATTGCACGCTGTAAAATTCAGCACAACCGCACCGTCTTTTTTTTTTTTTCTTTCCAGTAGCACTTTTTGCAAAGTCTAATTGAACAGTTTTTTTGGCTGACTTTTTCTTTCATATGCCCTCGGGCAATATGAGACATGAAAGCTGAGCTCTGTGTGTGTATGTGTGTGTGTGTGTGTGAGCGAGAGAGAGAGAGAGAGAGAGAGAGAGAGAGAGAGAGAGAGAGAGAAAGTGTGTGTGTGTGTGTGTGTGTGTGTAGCATACACACACAGGTATTTGGGGTTAGGAAAAGGGGCTTTCATTAACCTCATTATGCTATACTCCCCAAAATGTTAGGATCCCCAACCTTCATTTTGCAGCAATGGGATCCCTTAAACAGCAGGCCAACACCGCCAACCATGAATTTTCACACTAAAGCCTCAGGGGTATGCGTAGTTTAAAATCTTTTGCAGAGATGATATCTATATATATGTGTGTGTGTAAAATTTCTCCCACTAAAACCTGGTTACTTATTTTACTCCATAATCATCAATTCACCCTTTCATCCTCAAATCTGAAACATCATCTAACATTTGCTATCCAGCTTGAAGCCAAAAATAAACAAGTATAAACAGCTTAGGACTTAGCCACTGTCCTGTAGACCCTTGCAACCGGTCTCTGCAAATGATATTTCATCACATTTGACGAAGTGGTGATTGTCTAAATGCAAACTGAAGAGGGTATTGAGGCCCTGGCTGGGTAGCTAGTTGGTTAGAGCATCATCCTGATACACAAAAGTTTTGGGTTTAATCCCCGGCCAGGACACATATAAGAATCAACCAATGAACGCATAAATGGGTGGAACGACAAATTGATGTTTCTCTCTCTCTCTCTCTCTCTCTCTCTCTGAAAAACAAAAATCAATAAAGTTTTTTTAAAATTCAAGTATTAGAGAAAAAGGCTGGAGAGGGCAGGAGGATAGCTTTTATCTCTCCTTTGTCAAAGTTCTCACAGTGTTTTGTAGAGGGCTGTGGAGAGCGGCTATAGCATTTGCACAGGTTCAAGCCTCAGACTAAAGAGAGGGCACAGTCCTCCCGTGGCAAAGCCACGTGCAGGTCCCAGCTTGGAGGGCAGAGCCCTCCCAGCACCATTATAGCCAAAGGCTATCTTGTAAGCTTGACCTTATGGTCCGAACCTGTGGTCCCAGGTGGCTGAGTGAGGTAGGCTGTGGGAGGTGCAGCAAGTGCTGCCAAAACAAAGCTTGATAGAGTTCTCAGGTGCATGTAAGTAAATAGATTTGAAACTCGCGAGAACATTGTAAACATCTTGACCACGCCCTTGCTTTGCCTCGTGGGATCTGACTATAAAATAAAGACTCGGCTTGCAGGCTGTGGCACGGTCTCTCCATCCAAAAGGGTGTCCCATCTGGCTCCAGCTATATTCTCTTGTCTGTTTTCTTTAATCCTTCACCGCCCCTGCTCAGGTTCACCCCTGGCCGAGCTGGACATGGTTCAGAGGGCGGTGTTCTCTTGTCCAGGCAAAGGTGACTTCAGCCGAAGCTGATGTCTGTGTCGCTACAAAAATGAGCAGCTGCTGCTCCTAAGGCCCGGGTCAGGAAATCTAAGATGCCTTTGAGATCCACTGAGGTTTTTTTTAATCTCAGTACATTCATCTATGGATCCCCAGTAGGGGGTATGCAGGAGGCAGCCAATCAATGGTTCTCTCTCGTCACTGATGTTTCTCTCTCTCCCTCTTTCCTCCTCTCTGAAGTAAAAATATATATATTTTAAAAGAATAAGAGCTCTAGCCGGTTTGGCTCAGTGGCTAGAGCGTCAGCCTGCAGACTGAAGGGGTCACAGGTTTGATTCCAGTCAAGGGCACATGCCCAGGTTGCAGGCTCGAATCCCCAGTGACGGGGGGGGGGGGGGGGGGAGCGTGCAGAAGGCAGCTGATCAGTAATTCTCTCTCTCTCTTCCTCTCTGAAATCAATAAAATATATTTAAAAAAGAAAGAAAGGGAAGAAAGAAAGATGAGGAGAAAGGGATGACAGCTATAGGTTGAGAAGAGGAAGCTCAGTGACTTCTCTCACTTAGAGTGGGATTGGACCTAGGTTATCTGACTTTCCAGATTAGGGGGTGAGCTTCTGGACTAAATGGGTGGGGGCTCCAGCCATTCATGCGACCGCAGAAGTGTGCTCAGGGCATCCCCACGCCATTCTAAAGGTTCTTCCTTCCGGAGTAATGGAGGAATAACAAATGAGGGTCTATATCATGCGTGCAGATGTATAGGATGGTTTATATCAGCTCAGAAAAATCTAAGAATACAAAGGCTTCAAGCTGGTAGTCCATGCCAACAACCCAGACAAAGGTTACCTGGTACAGCTCGATCCGCTGTTCGGGCACCCTGGCTTTGGGGTTCTGTAGACGAAAGACTCTGAATTCCGCCTTCACCAGATTGGAAGCGTTCTTTTCCATCGCCGAGACGTCAAAGCGGACGATTCTGAAGTAGGGTCTGTAGAAAGTGGGCGGGATGGCATCTGTGAAAAGTTAGGGCGATCATTGAAAATGATAAAAATCCATTGTTCTCGCTCTCTCTCTCTCTCAAAAAGAAAAAGTGCAGCCATGAGACAGTCTCGAGAAACCATAAGGAAAATATCTACAGAACGATTTCGTTTTCAATCGCCAATTTCGTACCATTAACAATTTAACTAGGGGGGGAAAAATAAAATAAACATGTGCGTTTGGTTACAGGAGTAGCAGATTAATGGAGATTAACAAACCACTTCCAACTCCATTTGCGGGCGTGCAGTTAACCCTCTCGTTTGAAAGTTGGCAGAGCAGTGGAAAATGCTAGATGGTCATGCATTGGAGCATGTTCGTGACAGTTGATGCTGGAGAGAGCTGTCAGACTCGCATACACTTTAATCACATACGCCAAGAAAATAGCTCCTAATGGCAAGCAGTTTTGCCCATGTATTTTTTTTCCTTGAAATTTTGGCATCCAAATGTTCTGCTCTCTCCAGGTTCATGTATTGCATCTTTTCTTGGCTTCGAAAGCTTGTTTTTTTTCACACACGTGTGACCAAATACACCCTCTAGTTAAGTTAGGATGAGGAAATCAAAATTAAAAACAAAACTATACCCATATACCAGCGATACAGCATCCAGTCTTAAAATTCCTTATTCAAGATAATGCCCTTGGTGGGAGGGAATCTTGGCTAATGGAGAGAAAGAATCGGCCCAAATTCCTTCAGTGCTGAGCCACGTAAAACAGCACACCACACTTTCAAGCTCAGGGTGGCGAGGGTGTTGTTATTATTTTATAATCACCTGCCATCACTTTTGAAGATGCAATGGAGGCCATACCAAATAGCAAAGCAGGTCCAAATTCCAGCCCCATCCATCCTCTACAATACCCACCGATTGAGCCCCTACCCTGGGCAGGCCACTTGCTTCACATCTTTCCACCATCCTAGTCTAAAATCTCTTGCAAACTTTCTTTCCTTATTCCAGAATGTTCTATCCACTCTGGTGCCTTCATTACTCTCTTCTACCCTCTCCTGAACGGCTTAGCTTCGTCTCAACAGAATCTTTCACTGTTGCTGATGGCTCTTGACAGATGTTTTGATGACTCCTGCATTATGTTTGTTTGGTTGGTTTCCCCCCGTGCAATTTTAAGGACCTTGAGGGCAAAGACCTTGTTTGCCAAGTCTTTCTTCTTCTCTGCATACCCAGGACGGGGCTCTGCACACGCACAGTTTACCGAATATCCACTGTTTGCATAGCCGGTCATCAATGAGGAGCCTTGAAAGACTCAGGCATCTGGCTATTGGCAAGGCCAAGTTCTTATTAAATAAATGAGCCATCTTGCCGATCTTAAAATAGACATAAATACCTTTCGTGATTTCTGGAGAAATCCGTGCCCTGACAATTACACTGAAAAAAAAAACAAAAAGGCTCGGAACACACCAAGAATTCCTCATCTGAGGAGCTCTGCAGTTTCTCAGCCTCAAAACCCCAGAGCCTGGCCCGTCCCTGTGCCCGGGCCCTGGATTCTCAGACAGCAGCTCACGGGGAAGTGAGGTCCAAGCCATGCCCTGCCGGAGGCCTGCTTCAGAGACGACTGTGCGAACTGAGGGAGCCGAAAGTCTCAGAGACAAACAAACAAACAAACAAACAAATGTTTTTAAAAATCTAAAGCAGTGGTTCTCAACCTTCTGGCCCTTTAAATACAGTTCCTCATGTTGTGACCCAACCATAAAATTATTTTCGTTGCTACTTCATAATTGTAATGTTGCTACTGTTATGAATCGTCATGTAAATATCTGATATGCAGGATGGTCTTAGGCAGGGGTCCTCAAACTACAGCCCGCGGGCCACATGCAAATACAAATATTGTATTTGTTCCCATTTTGTTTTTTAACTTCAAAATAAGATATGTGCAGTGTGCATAGGAATTTGTTCATAGTTTTTTTTTTAAACTATAGTCCAGCCCTCCAACGGTCTGAGGGACAGTGAACTGGCCCCCTGTTTAAAAAGTTTGAGGAGCCCTGTGAAAGGGTCGTTCGACCGCCAAAGGGGTCGCGACCCACAGGTTGAGAACCGCTGTTCTAAAGCATCCAGGTCTTGGAGAAAAGAAAGCATTTCTTTCGACATGAAATAGTTGGCGGGCAGTTTCCAAGGAGGGCAACCATTCACAGAAGCAGGAACATTTTTGGAGCCCCCAGCAGAACAATTTGAAAAGGTAGCTGCTGCCCTAGCCAGTCTGGCTCAGTGGATAGAGCATCAGCCTGCAGACTGAAGGGTCCCGGGTTCAATTCCGGTCAACGGCACATGCCTGGGCTGCGGGCTCGATCCCCAGTGGGGGGCGTGCAGGAGGCAGCCGATCAATGATTCCCTCTCATCATTCATATTTCTATCTCTCTCTCCTCTGAACAGGCCCAGCCCAGGTGATTGAACGGGTTGGTATTCACCGATCGGCTCAGCACCTGGGACAAGAAGCCTGGGTGGGGGTAGGGCCATTTGCTTGAGCTCTGCACCCTCTCTGCTTTGCCCAGGCCCTTCCTCAGGCCTAGTGGCTGCCTGCATCTTCCCGTGGCCTCCCCATCAGACGCCGCACACATGCTTCGAAAGCGCATCCTGGAAGAGCAAAGCCCATTCAGTGTGTTTCCTGTCGTTAGAAAGCATAAACATCTAGTTCATTTCCCCGCAGGCCCGATCCACCAACCCCCACGAACACCCATCGTTCACACCCACCCGCCCCCTCATCCTTCCATCAAGTGTGCAAATAAGAGCTCTTGAGATTTATTTTTATTCTCTTTTGTGTTTATTAAACTTTGAGCCATTACCGCTCTCCCCCCACCCCCTTTTCTGGGCCTTGGCCCTACACACGCTTCTTTTTATGGCTGCCGCGGACCACGAGGTCAATTTTGTTTCTTCTTCTTCTAAGCAAACCGTCTAAGGATCGTGTCCTAGGCTTTCAAGCTTTGAAGGGGCGCTTGCAAATATTTACAGGAGCAGCTTGATCATGAAGTGGGGGCTCCAAAAAGGGGGTGGTTCTGCTCCCCCACCCCCTCCCCCCACCGCTCCACATTGGCCAGCGCCCTCCGCCCCTCAGGCCCATGGTCGGCAAACTGCGGCTCGAGAGCCACATGCGGCTCTTTGGCCCCTTGAGTGTGGCTCTTCCTAAGCCTTAGGAGTACCCTAATTAAGTTAATAACAATGTACCTACCTATATAGTTTAAGTTTAAAATATTTGGCTCTCAAAAGAAATTTCAGTCGTTGTACTGTTGATATTTGGCTCTGTTGACTAATGAGGTTGCCGACCACTGCCTCAGGCTATTTTAACCATTTCAGCTGATTCTAGTTCAAGGGCCTGAAAATACAAATCGATGTTCTCGGCTCTTGCTTTAGAAGTAGAAGCAGTTCAATGCACGAGGTGAGAAGAAAGCTGAGCAGCTCCCACCAGCGACTCTGTGTTGGTCTTGTGACCACAATGAGGCGACCAGGCCAGCAGGACACAGAAAAGCAGAAATTGCAGCAATGCAAGAACTCTGAGGCTCTTAGAAAAGTGAAGTGCCCCCATGATTCTCACTAATTGCCCAGCTTATTTATTGTATTTTTAAATATATATTTTTACTGATTTCAGAGAGGAAGGGAAAGGGAGAGAGAGATAGAAACATCACTGATGAGAGATTCATTGATCAGCTGCCTCCCACACGTCCCCCACTGGGGAGCGAGCCCGAAACCCGGGCAGGTGCCTTTGACCAGAATCAAACCCGGGACCTTTCAGTCCACAGGTGGATGCTCTAGCCACTAAGCCAGTGGTTCTCAACCTTCTGGCCCTTTAAATATAGTTCCCCATGTTGTGACCCAACCATAAAATGATTTTCGTTGCTACTTCATCACTGTAATGTTGCTACTGTGATGAATCATCATGTAAATCTCTGATATGCAGGATGGTCTTAGGTGACCCCTGTGAAAGGGTCATTCGACTGCCAAAGGGGTCGCGACCCACAGGTTGAGAACCGCTGCACTAAGCTAACCTGGCTAGGGCCCTGTGACTGTTCTTATGGCTGGTAATTTGCAGTTCTAACCCCTTTCACCTTTTCCAATGTGAAGAGCTTTTAAAATACCCATTCCTGGGACCCAGGTCCCGAGAATCTGTTTCATTGAACCCAGTGGACTTTTCTAAGCTCTTCCATGATTCTCAGGCACAGGCCGGCTGGAGAAGCCCTCAGGGAAGAACTGAGAACACGCAGCTTGAAGAAGAGGGGGGTTTAGAAACACCACATCCCTTCGGAGATTCCAAATCCTTCCGGTGGGAAGTTCTTACTTTCAGTAGAGCCAGGGAGTCACACTTTGGCTCAATATTAAAGAATTTTTCTCATAGAAAAGTTTAAAAGGAATGGGAGTACCTCCCTGGAAAAATTCAGGCCTTTGTGAGCTATACCTTGTCCCCAAAGACGCAGTGGGGTGTCCTGAATCTGGGGGTGGCCAAGCTAGATGGCCATCAGCACACTCACAGCTCTGCCATTACATCATTCTCCTCAAGGGTGAGCCTCCAAAAGCGGGTTTTCTCCCCTAAATTCTACATTAGACGATCGTCACTCACCGCCTGCGTGGGACTCACCTGGGGAGCTTGCTGATAATGCTTATCACCTGGCTCCATCCCAGGCCTTGAGGGCGAATCGCGTGTGACTCTGCTTTGCACTGAAGTTTGATAACGTCTGCCCTAGACTGTGGTCTAACCACAATGAACTTGGCCAGGCTTCCCTTCCCGTGGTTACTCAGTGTCATGAACTAGTGAGGGATGAATAGCATGCCTCCATCCCACCATCCACACCCTAGAGAGAATGGCCTGGTCTCCCTCAGAATTCTACCTCAGGCCCCCTCCCAGGTTATCCTAGTTCACATGCTGCTGAGCAAGAGCTTTTAATCCCCATTTCACAGGTAAAGGAACGAAGAGCAAGGAGAATAAAATAACTCTTGGCCACAAAGTGAAGCTGGTCTTTCTATCAACCCTGTGGCTTCTGCC